TTCCAAGTGCATTGTATATTGCCGGGGAGTTAATTTCATCCAAGCTAGAATATATCTACTCCTTGATGCAAACTGTCCAAACACATACTTCATTCCCTGCCACTATGGACACTGTCCACTCTGGGAACCAACAGCAAGAATGCGATGTGTTCTCATTTCCATGCTGACCAATCTGAATTTGACCTCTGTAACTTAACCTTCAGCATGAACTGGATTTTTAACTCCTCAAAATGGCATACTCTTTTAGAATTTAGAGAGATAGCAAGCCTGCACCTGAATAAATCAAGGCCACACATGAACATCAGGGATACTGGTGACGCAGACACACATTTCCTTATGTTAGCTTGTCAAGTCTGTAAAGCATAGCCATACAAGCTTCAGTCAGAAGAGCCAGCTCTCCTAAAATAACACAATAGCTAAACTAGTAAAGGAAATGCTGCTGTCATGTACCCAGCATTTAGAGCACTGCTAACTCTGGTTGGATGGAGGTTGGAGATAGTAGCTTCAAGTCTGATGTCATGGATTCTCTATAGGGCATTTATGCCTCCTGGGGAAGACAACATGCACTCTCATGAGAAAGACTTGTGGTTTGGATCCAAAGCACAGAGAGAAGGTACTGCTGGCCTTGCAGTACACATTTTGTGACCTTGATGAAGTCCCACATCTGTTTTTTCCCTTACAAAGGGGAATCGTATTTTCCCAGCAAAGCATACAAGGATTCATGTCCCTCCCTTTCTCCCTCCCTCCCTCCTTCATTGTGAATAGTGAGGAGCAGTGACAAGCCCGAGCAATAGGCCAAATAGTTTATAACTCATATAAGCCTCTGTGTGTTTACTTGGGACTTAATGGCTGCTGGACTGGGTAGGACAGAAACTTTGGTCTACATTCCCAGATTTAAGAACTACGAGAAATAAACTTGTTTTGCTTCTAGACACCTGCTTTATGGGATTCTACTATAGTGGCTCAAACAGATTGGCAGAATGTTTCCCATGAGTGATTACATCTACTTTTGAGTGTTTTTTTCAAATAAGCTGCCTAATGGAACAACTGAGGCCACAAGTTGAGAATATCAAGGTTACATTACCAGTTTTCGACTGTTTAACTCTATACTCTATAATAGTCTGCAAAGAATAAATATTCAGTTAGAAAATCATATATTTCAGTATCTTTATTATAATGTCTAATTTAGAAATCACTATTTGAAACTATGTTGCTGCTATCACAAAAATCTAAAATATGTGGCCTGTCTTAGCCATCAATTTGAAACCAACCAGGAAGCATATTAAGGTTGAAAAGCTTACAACTATCTTGTAAGGTCTTGCCAGAGCAATTGGTAAAATTGTCACCTGCAACGGCTGGGTGGGGGGCAGAACACTCATCTGTAAGGAAGAAGTTAGAATAAAGGTAGACTGCCATGGGTGTTGGCTGCTTCTTGCTACGTTTGGCAAGATTTGAGAGGCAGGGACTGAAATCAAACGAGAATTGGCCAATTTCAAGCAGAGATGGAAGAAAATAGAACTGTGAACAGAGAGTGTTTCCTTGCCTTTGATCCGTTGCCTAGACTGACGGGCTATGGACTCAAGGCTGGGAAATCCAACTCTCTCTCTTCCTGAAACAGCAGGAGTTAAATAAGACTCATTCATAGTGTCCCTCAAAGTGTCTCATTGAGACTGCTCACCTAGTGGGAGGTGACCCGTCCACAGAAAGCACATGAGAGTTATGTCCTTTTGACTCAAGCTTTGGATTGCTCTTGTCAAAGTAAGAGAGGAGAATGGGCCTGATAGATGCCATTAAAGAAAGGGAGATTCACCAGGCTTAGGGTATGGTCTACAAGAGGTCGGAGTATGCTTGCTTTTGGGTACAGTGCTGGTGAATATTAAATATCAAAGTTTGGTGAATATTAAATATCAAAGTTGATTGGTTGTTCAGGAAAATGCCTTGATTTCTAGTGTCTTCTGACTTCATGCTATAAGTATACCTCCCTGGCCTGTTTCGGGTTACTGCCATGAGTTACAGGCTTTGGAAACAGACAGGCCCTTTAATGTCATAATCTCATACAAACCAGATCAAGAACACCTTTGTAAAGAATTAAATGCAAGAAAAGAGACAATTCACCAAATTTTGGAATTACATTTGCCAAGAAATGGCAAGCCCACATACATGAAAAGATTTGTGGGATTTCTCATCCCCAAAGTGTCTGTCAGGCTTTTTTATGTATGCAAGAGTGGGAAATGAGTTAGTTTTTTAGTGGACCACACTGTCTGTCTTCAGATGGACCCACAGGGTAAGGAAGATGCTGTTGGGGAGCAAATCCGTGGCCCAAGAGTGTCTTCTTCAATTTGAAGTTCATATTGTAGATGTAACCTTTTCTCATTGCTTGTGTTTATCCTTAGGCCGTCTGGAATAGGATTATTTTACTTATCTCTTTATACTTTCTTTTTACTGGTGAGTAAAGAAGTTCCTGATTTTTAATGTTAATTCTGTGTCTTACCACTTTGATAAAATGTTTATTAGATTTAAGAGTTTTATGGTGGAGATTTTAGGGTCTTTATAGAGCGTGATCATATAATCTGGAAAGAGATAATTCACCTACTTCATATCATTTTTTAAAATCTCTTTTATTTCTTTCTATTGCCCGATTCTTCTGTCTGGATAGTCAAGCACTATAATGGATAAGTATGGGCAAAGCTGACGGTTTTTCTCTTCTTAATTTTGGAAAGATGCTTTCAGTTTTCCCTACTTCAGTATAATGCTGACTTTATGTTTGATGGTTGCAGCCTTTCTTTTGATAAAGTATTACCTTTCACATGAAGAGGTGGTGAATTCTGTCCAGGGCTTTTTGTGATCATGTGACACACACTGTTGGTTTTATTTATGTATTATGTATTGTATTATGCATATGTATTATTTATGTATTATGTATTACATTGCATTTGTGTGTTTGTATATATTAACTATTTCTTGCTACCCTGTCTGATTATGGTGTACAATCTTTGAGATGTTTTGTTGAGTTGAAGATCTTACATGTATGTTCTTTTTTTTTCCTGAGATAAGGTTTCTCTGTATAGCTTTGGAGGCCATCCTGGAACTCCCTCTATAGACCAGGCTGGTCTTGAACTCACAGAGATCCACCTGCCTCTGCCTTCCGAGTGCTTATGTGTATGTTCTTTTTTGATGGGTGTAGTGAACTTTATTGATGGTATTCAAGAGAGCAGGGTTCCCTAAGCTCCTCTTTATTTTATTCTGGGGGTCTAGGATGGATACTGTGAGGGAGATGACCAGTGTGGGGGTTGTTGGACAGGGACTGCTCAGCAGCCAGGGCCTCTCTCTTTTGAGTCCTTGCAGGGGGCAAATAGTCCAGGGTGGGTTTCCTACTCCTTGGAGGCCATGTAGGCCATGAGGTCCACCACCCTGTTGCTGTAGCCAAATTCATTGTCATACCAGGAGATGAGCTTTACAAAGTTGTCATTGAGAGCAATGCCAGGCCCTGCATCAAAGGTGGAAGAGTGGGAGTCACTGTTGAAGTTTCAGGAGACAATCTGGTCCTCGGTGTAGCCCAGGATGGCCTTCAGTGGGCCTTCAGATGCCTGCTTTACTGCCTTCTTGGTGTGTTCATACTTGGCAGCTTTCTCCAGGTGACATGTCAGATCCACGATGGACACATTGGGGGTAGGAACATGGAAGGCCATGCCAGTGAGCTTCCCCTTCAGCTCTGGGATGACTTTGCCCACAGCCTTGGCAGCACCAGTGGATGCAGGGATGATGTTCTGGGCATCCTCACAGCCATCACGCCACAGCTTCCTGGAGAGGCCATCTACAGTCTTCTGGGTGGCCGTGATGGCATGGATTGTGGTCATGAGTCCTTCCACAATGCCTAAGTTGTCATGGATGACCTTGGACAGGGGGGCTAAGCCATTGGTGGTACAGGACGCATTGCTGACAATCTTAAGGGCGTTGTTCACATCTGTCAGAAACATGGGGGCATCAGCAGAAGGTGCAGAGATGATGACCCTCTTGGCTCCACCCTTCAAGTGGGCCCCAGCCTTCTCCATGGCGGTGAAGACGCCAGTAGACTCCATAACATACTCGGTGCCAGCATCACCCCATTTGATGTTGGCGTGATCTCGCTCCTGGAAGATGGTGATGGCCTTCCCGTTGAAGACAAGCTTCCCTTTCTCAGCCTTGACTGTGCCTTTGAACTTGCCATGGGTAGAGTCATACTGGAACGTGTAGACCATGTAGTTGAGGTTAACGAAGGGGTCATTGATGGCAACAATGTCCACTTTGCCAGAAGTGAAGGCAGCCCTGGTAACCAGGTGTCCGATACGGCCAAATCCTTTCAATCCGACCTCCACCATTGTGCCTCAGGAACGAGGCTGGCACTGCATGAAGAGATGAGGCTGTGTCTAGAACAGGGAGGAGCAGACAGCCTGTAAGTATGTTCTTAATCGGAGTTGTTTGGATCAGAATCTAGCCTCCGACAGTTGCAAAAAATACTGGTTTGGCTATTGAACCTCACTAGACAAATTGAACAAACAAGAAACAGTGGAAAATAAGGAAGAGTGATACCTATTCAGCGTAGCCGCATCTGGAAGAAAAACGAAGAGGTCCATTTTTAGGGCCTGACATGACAGGTTTAGAGGGTCAGGACAGGCATAACTAAGCGGTCGTGATTAGCCTGCTGCCTTGATTATCTCCATAGTCTCAGTGACAGTTAATCCTGCAAGATGTGCAAACTTTGGAGACATTTTTTTCTGGCCAGCAGCAGTCTCCAGCCCTTTTTGCCCCCATCCTGAGATTCCTGGGGACATTTTAAGTCTTTGTTATCCACTTTTCCTGTAGTCTGACAGTCAAAGGGAAGAGGAACAAGTGTCTCTTCAGGAAGTCTTCATTCCTGTCATAGTAGATGCGTACCCATCAATGACAACCATGCACAGTTTTATTTTCTCCAGATGATTTGTTCCAATGTGTCTTATGCCCCATCCTGTTTTTGGTTTCAGAGTGATGCTGGCTTTGTAGAAAGAGTTTGGAGCATTCTTTGGAACTCTGATTTAAAGGTCTGTAGCAGTCAGTGGTAAATCTGTCCATGCCTCAGGCTTTCTTTGTTGAGAGATTTTTATTTCTGCCTCTTTTTGTTTTGTTTTCATTTGGAGAGACAGGGTTTCCTCTGTGTAACAGCCTGGCTACCCTGGAACTCCCTTTGTAGACCAGGCAGACCTCTGCCTCCAAAGTACTGGGATTAAAGGAGTGAGCCACCTTTAATCTTTAATCTTTCTGCTTTAATCTCATGGCTTAATGCCAATTTCCTTAGATTGTTTCTATCATCTTGGTTCAATTTTGGCAGATCATGTGTACCTAGAAAAAAATCTGTCTTTATCCAGATTCCATTTTATTGGGATACTTTTTCAAAATATTCCCTAAGGATCCTTTGGAAGTTATTGGTGGGTGTGAGCCACCAGGTGTGGATGACAGGAACTGAACTCTGGGCGCCTACAAGAGCAGCAAGCACTTTTAATTGCTAAGCCATCTCATCACCCCCTGGAAGAAGGTTATTTCATTATCTGTCCTTAGAAGCACCATTCTTCCATTATAACAAGTCCTTCAAGAAGAAATCTTATAGAAGAATGCGATGATATCTTTCTTGCACAAATAAAACCTGTCTGGGTGTCAGAGAATGGAACTTGCCACTAGCTAACCATAGAGGTCTGGAGGTCTATGTGCAAGAAAGATATAACCACAGAAGACATTATATTTTATGGGCTGGAGAGATGGCTCAGAAGATAAGAGCCCTGGTTGCTTTTTTTAGAGGTCCCGAGTTCAATTCCCAGGTTTGCATGCAGGCAGAACACTGTATACATAATAAACAAATAAATCTTTAAAAAAAGAAATTATACTTTATGATATAATCCCCAGCTTAGATAATAGTCATCCTATTTCTAACTTTAAAATTTTAGTTTCCCTACCTCCATGTACCACGGTTGGTGAGACTTTTACTTATGTCACACCTTTTACTTAGAGACATGCTTTAATGTATGAAGATTGGTCCTGAAATAGACCTATAAAAGACTGTGGTAAGCCACGTGTGATTACCCACAACTATAGCCTCAGCACTAAGGAGACTGAAGCAGGAGGAGGTGATATAATCAGTTCCAGAACAGTGTGGGATACAGAGTGAGACCCTGTCCCAGAGACAATGTGATGCATATGATTCACTTGCTGTCTCTTCTTGGAGAAATAGAACCGATAAAGCACAAAAATAGAGGAATAGAGTTCAGAAGAGCTTGGTTTTGTCACTTAGATTTTTTTCTCTATAAACTCATTTAAAAATGTCTTTCTTTCCTTCTTTCTTTCTTTCTGTCTGTCTGTCTTTCTGTCTGTCTTTCTTTCTTTCTCTTTCATCTTTTACATCCCAGCCACAGTTTCCCCTCCCTCCTCTCCTTCCAGACCCTCCCCCACTTACCCTCTGCCTTCCCCATAAAACTCACTTAAAAAACAGATATTATTTATTCATGAAAATTGTCCTTGCAATTGCAACAAAACCTATCAAGCCATCTCTCTGTTTTGTAAATCTTCAGGTGCCTGCTCTGTCATCCCCTATCCCACCCTACGGCTACTAAAGTCTGACAAAGATGCTGTAGATATCAGCTACCTGACTTCTTGACTCAGACATAACCCATTAACTCTCTTAGAGCCCCGTCCAGGCGAAGCTGTTAATTTTGTTTGTTCTTAAGTCTAACTACTTTTGCCTCCTGCGTGATGGGATCAAAGGCCTGCACCACCAATGCCCGGCAACACCTTAATTTTGTTTTTATTACCTGTCTTTTCTTCTCTCCTCTCTCTCTTTCTCTCTCTCTGTCTCTCTCTCTGTCTCTCTGTCTCTGTCTGTCTCTGTCTGTCTCTGTCTCTCTCTGTCTCTCTCTGTCTCTCTCTCTCTCTCTCTCTCTCTCTCACACACACACACACACACACACACACACACACATTTATCTCCCCAACTGGAGCTTCTGTAGTTGGAGATGGGCTGTATGTTATAGGAATAACAAAGGAGAAAACAACCTTAATGCCCCTATCCCAGCAGTGCTCGGGTTTAGGATTACATATATTTCACAATTAATGGAAAGCAGTTTTAAATACATTCAGTTCAGCACAAATTGAATTTGATGAGTTATTAAAGAATAAAGAGGACATGGAGTGTGGGAGTAGGGAGACAGAAGAGGATCTGGGAGAAGCTGGGGATTGGGGTGTGAATATGATCAAAATGCATTGCATGGAATTTTTATGGGTCAATAAAATGTTTTTAAATAAAAATAATTGGACTAGCTTAGCAACTTTATGGCTCATAACTTAAAGTATGGAAGCTGTTGCTGGAGGTACCTAGGCTGTCCCTTTTTTCTCTTATTTTCCTCATCTTGGAGCTGTTGTAACCCCATCCAGAAGGTAATAACGCATATAGTAATGAACACATGGTTACAAATGTAGATAAATTAGGGGCAGTAGGACTAGAGTTATGTATCAGCAAAGGCAACACAAAGACTTCCCAGTCTTTATTATGAAGTTGGTTTATAAGGAAAATGCCACCAGGAGATGTATTGTGGGGAAGAACTTATTCCTGGGCCCAGTTTTCAGCCATCTGTTTCTACATGCCAGGAATGGCAAATACTTTTCAATTTGAGAGTCAGTGATTGTTTACTAGTTGGTAATAAAAGAATAATGAAAGCATTACATTATGATAGTGTTGATTGATTAGTGATGTCTGCCCCCAAAAGTAGAAATAGCATGCCTATGTATTTACCATTTCAGGTCTATGGCATCTACATTCATCCAACTAAGAAAAATCATTTTCGTTGGGTGTTGGTGGCACACACCTTTAATCCCAGCACTCAGGAGGCAGAAGCAGGCGGATCTCTGTGAGTTCAAGGCCAGCCTGGTCTACAGAGCGAGTTCCTGACAGTCTCCAAAACAATACAGAGAAATTCTGTCTTGGAAAAAAAAGAAAAGATCATTTCCTATTATTATTAGCTCTTTGGGAGTTTCAAGTTTCATACCATGTGCTTTGATTATATTCACTCTTTCCAGAGTCACTCAATCCCCCCCCCCATCTATCTTTGTATCCTTAATAAAATCATTCAGAACTGATTTGTGCTGCCAAAACTATTCTTGGATGTGTGGTCTTACCACAGGCTATACTCTTAGAGAAAACTGACACGCCTCTTCTCAGCAGCCAATGTCAATGGATCCATGGCTAGAGTTGGATGGCTAGCGTTGGGATTGTATGTGCCAATCTCCTCTCCATACTAGAATTTGGTCTGTCTTAGTCCTGCATAGGTTTTGTGCAACCCGTTGAGCTGCCAGTTGTATCTAAGAGTATATTTCCTTGTAGTCATCACTGTCTTTGCTTCTCACATTCTTTCTGCCCACTGTTTCACAGCAATCTCTGAGCTTTGGTGGAGACGCAGTATTACATAGTCTCTTTAGGACTGAGTCCTCTGCAGCCTCTTTTCTCTGCACCTTGGTCATTTGTAGGCCTTTGTGTTAATGACCATCTCCTGCAAAGAGAGGTGCCTCAAATGAGGGTTGAGTTATGTACATTGATGAATAAGAATAAGGACCAATTATTATATATTGGTTTAATGGCATGTGCATTTGTCAGTAGGTAAATTGTAGTAGGTTCTCACCCAGGGCCTATGACATATATATTCATAGGTCCTGGGTTTGATGATGGTGACAGGTATGAGTTTTTTCTTGTGAACTGGGACTCAATTCTAGTCAGAAAGTTGTTCGTTACTCATATGATATTTATGCCACTATTATACCAGTGGGAATGTATTTCCAGGCCAGCCACAGTTGTAGCTCTCAGGGTTTATAACTGGGAAAGACTGATAATTAATTTCCTCCTCCAGTAGTGTTTATAGTACTTTCAGCACTATGAGAGCCAGTCAGTAGGGATGAAGCTTCTGGGTGAGTACCAGATAGATTTCATCGTGTTCTGTGATTCAAGTACACGTTGACTTTAGCAATAGGGTGCTTTATCTTATATTATAGGAATCATACTGGTACATTTTGGAGGGTAAGCAAGAGTAATGGGAATAGCTTGTAATATTTGGAGGTCTATGGGACCTCATTTTCTAATAACTCCAAAAAAGGTAACTTGTTCATGGTACTGCTTTTTTTAACTTTGTTTTTATTTATGCTTTGCGTCTCTCACACAATGCATATTGATCTATTCATTCCCCATCCCTTAGTATCAACCCTCTGCCCTTACAATCTCCTGCTTATATTTAAGAAAAAAATAATTTAAGAAGTTTAAGGAAAAATAAAGAGGAAAATCTCATCATGGAACCTGCAGTGTGACACAGTGTGCTCTTCTGAAAGTACCTCCTCATAATTCCTTTGACCTCCCTAAGTGTGATGGGGAAGTCCTGTGTATATGTCAATAAAGCACTGTTGGCCAATAGGGAAGCAAGATAGGTGGGACTAGGAGTCAGGGAGGATTCTGGGAAAGAGAGGCAGAGTCAGCCACGATGTAGCTGCATAGGGGTAAGAGGTCCAGACCCTTTTCTCTGGTAACAGAAATACTTAGATGAACAATTTTGGGTTAAATACTTAAGTCAGAGATAGCCAGTAAGAAACCAAGCAAAGAGCCAACAGCTTTATAATTAATACACTGTCTTGTGTGTTATTTGGGGGACTCCAATGCGGCAGGGCCCAGACGGCTGTTGGGGGGAAACCAAAGCTGCTGGCAAGGAAAAGACTATACTCTACATAAGTTTTCCAAATTAAACACACATATATCTGAAGATTCAAGGGAAAATCCACAGATGAGAGAAAAGGTGTGCCTTGTGTCTTTATGGTCTTCACTTACCTCACTCAGAATAATTGTTTCCAGCTCCATCCATTTGCCTGTGAATTTCAGAATACTATTCTTAAAAGGCCGAATAGTATTTCGGTGTGTAAATATGTCATGTGTTTGTCATTTACTCACTACTTGATGGGCATTTAGACTGCTTCTGTCTTTATTGTGAGCAAGAAAGAGATGAACGTGGATGGGCAGGTGTCTCTAGAGTGGGGTGTGGAGTCTTTGGAGTGCACACTTATGATTGGTATGTTGTGAGCACACGGTGAATCCATCCTTAGCCTTTGAGGCGTTTCCACAGTGGAGACACTCGCTTGCATTCATACCAGCAGCAAGCAGGAGCCCTCCTGTCCTACATCCTCACCAGCTACTGCTGTTGTGTTTTGATCTTAGTTATACTGGCTTAGGTAAGATTAATTCTCAAAGATGTTGAACATTTTAAAAAGTCTTTTTTTTCTCAGCTAATGGGGAACACTCTGCTTAGTGCTATGCCATCTCTCTCTCTCTCTCTCTCTCTCTCTCTCTCTCTAATCTATCTATCTATCTATCTATCTATCTATCTATCTATCTATCTATCTATCTATCTTGGTTTTTCCAGACAGGGTTTCTCTGTGTAACAGCTCTGGCTGTCCTGGAACTCACTCTGCAGACCAGGTTGGCCTCCAACTCACAGAGATCTGCCTGTCTCCACCTCCTGAGTGCTGGGATTAAAGGCTTGTGTCACCATCACCTGGCTATGCCCTATTTTAAACTGGGATTTTCTTTTTCTTTGATGCTTAAGTTTTCGAGGTCTTCATCTATTCTAGATATGAACACTCTGTCAGATGTATAGCTGGGAAAGATTTTTTTCTCCATTCTGTAGGACACCTCTTGACTAGTTATGTGCCCTTTGCTGTACAGAAAAAAATTAGATTATGAAATCCCACTTATCAATTGTTGGTTAATGCCTGTGCTATCAGGGCCTTGCAAGTTCTGTTGTTGTTCCAATGGTTCAAGCATATTCCTCACTCTCTCCTCTATCTGATTCAGAGAATCTGGTCTTTTATTGAGATGCTTGATCAGAGAGTGAATAAATTCGTCAATTTCACGTGGATATGCAAAGGAACCAGGATGATCAAAACAATGCTAACACCACCAGTACCACCAGCACTACCAGCAAACACTACCACTTTCTGCTACTGGAGCTAACACCATGACAAATTTTAAGTTTTATTAGAGAGCTATAGTCATGAAAACACTTGAAAATGGCACAAAAATGGACACCCTGAACAATGGGACCCACACATAAACCTAGACTCCTACAGACATCTGGATTTTGACAAAGAAGTCCATAACATGCATTAAAGAAAAGACAACATCTTCACTAAGTGGTGCTGGTCCAACTGGATAGCTACATGCAGAAGAGTGAGGTTCAAGCCTCACCTCTCGTTCCATACAGCATTGCTAGGCATTTTTGTTATCACTTGTGGCATCAGTTTAAAGTTTTAATAGTTAAACAAAAATTTTAAAAATTTAGAAAAGGTTCAGCATGTGTGAGTGCATGTTATGCTTGTGTTCATGTGTGCTTGTGCACGTGTGTGTGTGTGTATGTGTGTGTGTATGGTTTGTGAGTGAATGTGTGTGAGTGAATGTGCTTAGAAATGTGTTTGTGAATGTTTGGAAGGGTGTTAAGATGTGTGCGTGTGCATGTGTGAGTGAATATGTTTGTGATTGTGTGCACGCATGTATAAGTGTGTTCTTGAGTGTGTGTACATTTGCATTTGAGTGTGTGTGTGTTTGTACGTGTGAATGTATAAACCCAGTCCTTCCATTACTGTTTTCCTTGATGATACTACTTGCCACACTTTAACAACCTATTTGCAACCTATTTTCTGATGACAAAACTATTCTTCCTCTGTCTGCATCTTGAGTATTGTGCAAGGGTTGTACAAAGGGAGAGCACAAAACCCTCACTGCACAAGGCTTATCCAGGGCCATTTGGTTCTGTAGGGGCCTGTGGCCTTGGAGATCAGCAGTGCATGGTCTATAGCCTAGAATAACGTTATAAAAATAACAGTTATAAAATTACCTAAGAATTTATGGTACTGGCAAATGTGTCTGGCTTTTTATGTGTGAGGTACTAACTTGGAATATCTCATTGGGGAGATTTATTTGACTAAAATACATTCAAATTATTTGCATCAGTGAACTATAAGTGAAACACGGTATAAATTATGTAGGAAGGGATTAAAAAATAACAGGGTGACAAAGTGTAGAAAACCCAGTCACGCCCTCTCTTCCCTTGATTGGATTTTAGTCTATTTTAACTTTCAGGCCAGAACTAGAAAGCTGAATGTAAGGGAGGAATTTTTACAATGATAGAGTAAATATCAGACTAGCGATCCTGCCAAGAACAGCATGAAAGCGAACTTCAAGCTCAAATCAAAGCAAACGTTGTTTGAAGACATTAGAAGTAGACAAAGGTTTAGAAATATGGAAACAAATAAAGAACACGCATAACAAGCCCTCATTTGTCACGGCTTATCTGCCACGAGGAGTTCTCTATACTGGTTAAAAGACTTAGTAAGAAAACATTCTGTTCTGAAGTGTGTGGCAATCTCACTGGGAGGGGAGACAAAAATTGGACAGTGAGACTCCTAAAAGAATAAGAGATGTGAGCCCAAGAGGTGATGTGTAATCTCTGCATTAGACATCTGGTAGTTACACAGGGATATCTGCATCTATGGGAACACTTAAAATGGAGGGCTGGGCTTGGCTAACAGCTACAGAGAGTAGATGCATCTGGTATTGTACTTACTGTATTGTTATAATCATATATCAAACTGGGCATGGCATGCAAAGATACTATTTGGGAAGTCTGATGAACAATGCTAGCTGAATTTTACTTCTTGAGAGAAGGAATGTGTAAGAGATGATTCTCTCACTCTCTCTGTCTCTCCAACTCTGGCTTGGAAAGTCAAGATTATGGCAAGTCAAGAATATAGAATCTGTGTATACAATGGTGGAATTGGTGATAGGGACTGAAATTCCAGACAGACAGGAATGTAGAGGTGGACCCAGTCCCAGACACAAGGCAGGCAAGTCAGTGGGGGGGGGAGAAGAAAGCCTCCATCATCTGGGTAGGTGACATTACATCCTTAACCTAATCCTAAATCACTTGGAAATGTGTGAAGTTCTGAGATGCTTTGTAGACAGCATGCTGTGTGACTCAAGGGCTGAGCACAGGATTTCCCAGGCAGCTCTGTGCTAAGGGAACGTGCAGGTAGGGTCAGACACTGTGGCA